TCAGCCGATGGAGCTTGACGAACGAGAACTAGTTAGGGGCGGAGGCAGTAAATGGGGATGGAATTAGAGCGGTTTACTCTTGCGGGCCGATCTCACAGCATCTGAGGAGTAGGAGTGAGTTCAGTGAGCATGGAGACCTTCCCTCATGATTTGCCAGGTTTGTGGAGTTACGTTTGCGACAGACTCCCGTTCATCTTATATTTATTCTTTGAATGCTTTCTTTTTTTTCTTCTTCTCTCAATAATTAGCAATTATACGTCGTTGGAGATGAAATACAAGCCAACATGGTTGATTGGTTGATCAGCTTCCAATCACGCCAATTGCTGCAGACAGCAGCCCCGTTCGTGTAGTGTGTTATACTTTATGAGGTGTTCGCTCCTATTGCTGCTCGTTTTCTTGAACGTACCACTATTGTAACTATACATTTCTTTATACATTCGTTCCGGCAATTACTATAAAATGTATCAATAAAACTGCAATAAACGTTTTCATGCAATAAACAACTACCATTGTACGCCTTGCAAATAATATTCCAGTACAATCATGATAACATTGTAATAGGTTTGTATGCTAAGTTAAAATAATTACGGATATATGATTCTATAATTTTGTCACTAGTTGTCCGAGCTGAATTTAAATACTTATTTTATTAACTCATTAAACACTTCTCTGCACGATTACATTCACCATTCCATCCATCAACAATTGTTATACTGCGCAATATTTTTAAAGTAAATTAATTTTTCCCTGCGACTCCAAACAGTTTTATGAAGCAATTTTTCTTTTGAGGTTTTAATAATGTCCAAAGAATGTGGTTAAAGAATTTAATTTCTTTAAAATTAATTAATTAATGCTACATGATCACTCAAAATGTTAATTTCATTGCGTACAAAGCAATGTAGGCTAATAGTTTTAAACAGTGCATAAAATCGTTATATAAATAGTATAAAATGATTATTTTCACTCGAGATCAATTTGTTTCGTTATAACGCTCTGAAAAAAAATTGTTAGAACTAATAGACCTATCAGTGGAAAAACAAAATCTCACATCTTAGACACTAATATGCCTACAATAGATCATAGATATTTGAATGGAGCACAAAGCTTTTACAATGATCTCGCCATCATCTTCAGTTTACGAATGATATGAATGTGGAATCCCAGGAAAATCTTATCTTTTAGGAAAGCTCAATAGGATGTAACTATGCATTCTTCATATTTTAAATACCTCACCACTTACTGATAATTCCTTCTTTTGCTATGGTCGAGTTATTTTCTAATAAAAATACGGGACACATACTACTTTTTCTCCTGAAAACACCGCAAAATAACAAAACAGGATATTCTCTTTAACTTCATTTTATATTCTAATCGAAATAATACATCCAATACAGTGAAACCAGTCTTAAGCGGTCACTAGCTGTTTCGAAATAAATGGCTTAATAGAGGCTATGACAATAGAAAAATCAAATATTGCAATTTTCAATAACGTTAGCTATGCAACTTGCACTTGCAAAGACCTTCTTTAAATACATTATCACTTCAAAATAAAGGATGTCACGTACCATTAAGCACCAGCTGCAATGTTTGAACGAATGAAGTCATTGTAACGCAGTTTTCACAGAAGTGAATGAGGGAATGAGGCTAGTTTATACATATACTCATTTACATTTTATCACTTGTATTTTACGAGATATTAAGGTACCTTGGTTTTTTTAATGGAACTATACATATTTTTATGTCCAACATGACAAGAGTACAAAAGACTAATCCAATAATACATATGACATCCTGTCGTAGATTTAGTTGTTTAGATAATCATTTTTTTTTTTGTTGAGAAATTGAGAGCTACCGTCGGCTAGCAGCCCAACCAGGTATCTCCCACCAGCGGAGCATCGCCCCAGCTGGGACAAGATCTTGTCTCCTGACGGGTCTCCTGGCGTGTGTGGTAGTGTAGTGCGTGTTAGTGTAAGTGTGTGTGTGTGTGTGTGTGTGTGTGTGTGTGTGTGTGTGTGTAACGGGAGAGCCCTGGCCCGTTTGTTAGAGTACTCCTTCGGCTTTCGCCATTCCGTTTCCTCGCACAGGAAAGAGGAATAACTTGCTGCCAAGTGCGATCTACCAAGCAGGCAGAGCAGGGCCTCGCAGGGGAAGAGAGTAAACTGTTTAGGCGCGGAATGGGCGAAGCGGTGGCGACAGCGTGTTAGGAGCGCACGCGCGCGGAAGGGCGCGCCAGGTGCGCGCACGCGACGAACGTGCGGGCGCGCACGCGCC